TTAAAATTAGATCTCAAAGGGCGCCCGGTTAGCTCAGTGNNTGCAGCGGCCCAGGGTTCGAATCCAACATGTGGCCCTTTGCTGCGTGTCATCCTCTCTCTGCCCCCTTTCCTGTCTGTCTTCAGCTGTCTCTATAATAAAGGCAATAAAAGCCCAAAAAATATACTGAGTCACAAAAAAAATAATTAGATATCAAAAAGCAACCATGCTGTAGGATTGCTTAAATATCTTCAAATTGATTAAGGAGAAAGTTCTGGAAAATTATACAGTTTTTCTTTTTTACCTTGAATCCTCCCTGTTTTGTATTTACAGGGTAGTTGTTGGATGTCTATGGGATCAAGCAGCTGCTACAGGATCCCACAGACATACAGGTATTGAACTAAGCTAAAGGCAGGTACGTTGTTCTAAGCTTTGAGGGAGGGGAGTCCCACAGTCTCACACTTTGAAAATCCTCAGGCTAAAGCACTCAGACTTAATAGTCTGTGCTCTGTACCTGTTTGAAGGCATGCAGCAGGGCGACAGAGCGAGCATTGGACCCTGCCACAATGCCCTGTGAATACTGGAGACCCAGTCGAACAATAGCAGGATGAATCACTGTGGAGGGAATGCTGCAACAGATAAAAAGAGTGAGATATAGAGATATAAGGTGAAATAAGAGATTAAGACATATTATCGGTACTACATATATCTTTTCAGACAATACCCACAACCTACTGTACTATATGGTATTCTGTCAGTTTACCTGAGTTGCTGTGTTAGAGGGGCTTTGCGACTGTACTGGTGGAGATGAGAAAACAGGCTGACTTTATAGCCGTAGTCTGACCGGAGTGGGATCTGAAATAAAGCAGATCAGAGTCCACTGCCATCAACCCCAGTAATTCAGAAGGTTACAACTGAGATCACGAGGTTACCACACAGTAACAGCACAGCCTCTGCACAATAAACAAACAGCTAACATCTGTGAGTAAAAGTCTGTGGACCAAAGAAAGGAACAAATATATAGAGCCAAATGTACATTACCAATGAAAGGCTACTCTCAAATAAAATCCACAGACATGTTCATGTTTAACTTTGTCAACAGAACTTTTATCATGTGTAGTTATGGTGTAAATACTCCCCAAACACAAACAGAAAAGTATGGAGTACAACCATACACCCGCACGGCAAACTTGTTGTAGGTAAACACAAAGAACAAAAAGAAACAATGAACATCTTGTCAAACAAACACATCCCACCGACACACCGCCTCCTGTCTCAATGGACCAAGCAGTTTGCATCCCTAACTCTTCAGTGTAGGAGCGGTGTTGGAGTACGATAACAGTTACATGTTAGCCAACAAAACTAGACAAATGTCAATGGCACACATTTAGAGAGTCAGACCTTGACCTTTGTAGCAGCATTGTATTCTGGTGTCTGAAAGAAATGTTACGTACAATCACATGCGGTTATCGCTCATGGTTATGTGAGGTTGCAGAGAATGACAGAACATGATTAACACGGTTGTTTTTTTAACACCTGTCCTTGCTGTAAATAGCCGAACTTTAGACGCGCTTTATAGTTAAGTTATATATCAAAACACATTATTTAGGATGTTATTTATTATTATCAATGTGAATTATTACTCATTTTAGCCATTCAGATTGATGAGAGTCACCAACACGCCTTGATTCATCTGTTCCTTACTTGTATTTTCTCATTTCAAGGTGTTTATAATGAATGCATTTATAGTTCTTGTGCTCAAGCTTTCCCAATAAATGCTAACACAGGGTGCTCACAACATTTGTGACGGGCAGTTTATGCTTATTATGTCCTGAAATCAGAAACAGCATGCACAAAAGATGACACATAACGGTAGCCAACCTGCTGTCTTTCCAATTTCTTTGCCAGTTTCTTCAAAACCTCCGGGTTGTCCACCTGGATATGTTCTGAGAGCCTCTTCACCACTGAAAACACATGAAAGGTGTGACTTTCTCCACGGTGTACAATGTCTAATCTCAGATGGTCACTACTGGTGCTGACCTCCAGGATACTACAGTACCTGGCTGCAGCTCACTAGGCGGCGCTTTAGGTTTGCCCGGAGCGGCCTGCTGTCCCCCCTCTCCCTTCTTGCCCTGTTTGGAGGCCCTCTCAGCCTCTTGCCGAGCTCTCCTCTCCGCTTTCATCTCCGCTTTACTCTTAGCTGGCTTGTCTGCCGGGGCAGGAGTTTCTGAGGCAGGCACAGGAACCAGAGGAGGCACTGCTGAAGGAGCTGAGGGAGACGCAACAGTCTTAATTACAGTAATGCATCACAGTTAGAAACATTTACCAAATCCCAGATTTGTCGGCTAAAAAGTTGATACAAACGATGCTTTATGTGACATATTTCAATGACTCCAACTACAACACCACCATGTCGTATGCACCTTTTTGTGTTATGGGTTGCGTTGGGGGCTGAGAAGCTGGAGAAGCTGCACTAACAGCCTTCTTCTCTTTCTCACTTTCCTGTGAGGCCTTCTCATCTTTTTTCTCTTTGCTTTTCTTCTGCTGTTTCTTCTCTTTCCTCAGCCGCTGCTTCTCCTCTTTGGTCAGCTCTTTGCCTTCAGTCTGTCGAGCGAATATGTCAAGAACAGGGGGGGGGGGGTCAAAGAAAACGTTACAAATCAAAAGCCTTAAACATGCAGCCTTATGTAGGAATGTGACAAAAAAAGCCAACATAACACACAAACCTTTGCTCGCTCAACATCACCCTTCTTAACAGGTCCTTCTGTGAAAGCAACCAAAAAAACAGGATGATTTTATGTATTTATTTGTTTGTGAATCGGGCTGTAATGACAGAGCCAGCCTTCAGTTGTGGTGATGCTGTTCGCTGCCCTGTGTGTCACTCGGTTTGCATCATGCTAACGACACCAGCAGCACAGCCGATGGGCTACCAGCACCTGCGCCGCACCACGACCGCTTAAAGCCACCATTTTAAGTCGTTCTGTTAATGTATTAAACTACTCGAAAAGATGATGCAATAACGTCGCGATGACTGCCGTTAAACTACTCTGTGTAGCACCGTTAGCAGCAGCAGCATAAAGGGATTAAACTCCCGACACGAGCCGAACCCAAAGACCATGAAACACCAGTTGTGAGCGCAAGGCATGTTGTCGCTGCGCCCACAGAGAAAGTTCTCAAAATACCTGGACACTGTGATAATGTCCAGCTGTTACTCACTACCACACTCACCTGTCTCTCCACTGTCAGCCATGTTTACGGTGCTGCTTCACTTCCTCTGCTGCTGCACAAACTACCGGCCCGGAATATGTATGTCGCCCCCTTGTGGAGGAAGGTAGTGCTGCTTTAAATGAATGTGATTTAATGAGCTTCTTACTCAAGTGTATAGATATTTTAACAGTGGCTATTTTGAACATTAAATAGTAGGGTGAACACAGGCGTTGATATTAATTAAGGTTATTTTCCATTCAGGTCAAACAGAGTCATGGTGCTGCATTACATGGAACATAATCTTAATTAGTGTCATTAGTAACACCCATGTTAACCCGACTAATTCACATCAAAATGGCATCGGCGTATTGCATTCACTTGAAAAATTATTCTGCTCTGTTTTGATCAATTAATGAGATACATCTAGCACAACTCACCAGCCCTGGTGAGCGAGCTACAGCCCGGGCCCATGGCCTGGCTTCTGTGTCTCCTTGGCTTTTACCCCTAGTACTCCACTGGAGAACCAGAGAGAAGGAGGGAGGTCGATGTGATCTATGCCCACAGCCGGGTGCCTGTTCTCAGCTGTCCTCCCATGTGGCTGAGAGATGGTCCTGGGCATGCAGAGTGTGCTGGACGTATTGCTTTAATTTAACATTTTCATGAAAAATGATCTCAGAATTTTGAGATAATAAGTTATTAATTCAGAAAAGGAAAGCAGACTTTTTTTTTCTCCAATTGAATGGATACAAAATACAGTTTATTACTCTAAACAAGTAACACATGGGAGAGTAACCAATTTTTAATGTAAATTTGGGGGGATTTTCTTACATCCTTGTATTTCACTTTATAATGAGTGAATGTGTAGATGGGTGTTAAATATTGGTATCAAACCTCAGACTTTAATAGGAACATTTCCAAAAATCTGGTACATAATGCCCTGAAACACAAAATATCACAGAACATAATCATTATTGCTGTAGAAATTTCTATGGATGCCTTTTTGTGGTTCTTTCTGCTAACACACCCTCAATGTGTCAGATTTTGGACTGATGTGTAATTTGATGGATTTTGTTTGCATGATGTAAAATAAAATTAAACAAACAATCAAGCAAATAAATAAAAGACTATGAAATACCTGTATTAGGAGATTTTGAGTATAATCTGTGCATGTATGGTTCCAAAATAAATCACATTTTTTGCATTTTGTACTGTGTGTGCTTGTTACATTTATGCAATGAGGTGCACATCTGAAAAGGATTCATATACTGCTGAAGATGACACTGCAATTTATAACTAAATAAGTTTTCCATTACAACATAATTTTAGGTTTCTTTTTTCTTTTTACAAAATATATTAAGCAAATTCTCAGTTACACATTAAGCAATTCCATTTTCAGCACACTCATAATTATTTTCTCTGCAACCTCTTTGAATAAAGGACAAAGACTACATCTCTAACAGGGTGGACAAAAGTCATTATAACCTAATTAAAACATTATAGGTAAAGTGTCATTGAGTCCTTTTTGGTGGTGGTGTTTTTTAATGAATGTGGTTTTTGTGCATACCGTATGAATCACTGAGCTTTTGGTATTGCATAATGACTACTCATTATACTGTTATCAGGGTAATACTTGGAAGAACAATTAGCCCACTTACACATTTTATACCAGAGTATAATCAAAAATAAGAAAAATGCTACACTCACCCAGTTTAATATGGGCTTATATAAAGAGATGTGACTCTGTGAATATGTCCTTTACAATTGTTTAGATTTCTAAAAATGTGTAAGACATTCAGAAGAAATTTAACACTGTATATTGTCAGCAATATTTTTATTAACATCCATTGTCATACAGGAAACAACCAACAACAAACCACTGAAGAAAAGAAACTATCTATCTGTCTATCATTGTTAACCGACTACCACCTCCAAAATATACAGCATACACCACAACGCCACTGTGTCTTTGATTCCACGCTGGTGTCTGCTGACTGAATTCACGACGCAGTAGCTGGTTGAAGGGGACCAAACCTCACAGAAACACCTGACTTGGTTCCGTTTGACCAGCCACAGCAAGGTGTGTTGCTTCAGCCTCAAGAGGCAGAGTGAGAGGGAGGGCAGGAGGGGGGAGAGGAAGGGTTACAGGGGTAGAGGACATAGAAAATAAGGAAAATGAGGGACGAGAAAGAGCAGAAATAGAGGGTGGGCTTCATCTCCAAGCAGTCAGGCCGTCATGTCCTCTTCAGCCTTACCTGGAGGAACACAGAAAGGAAAAAGATCAGCACTAATGACATATCCTTACACCATATCCATGTTACCAAGCAGATAGTTCCTATTTAGAGGTTTGGGAACCCTGACAGCCGGTGACATCGCCCTATTTCCTTCCAAATCCAGCCTACAGGAGCGACCCTTCACCCTCAGTGACAGCTCCACATCTCTGCCCTCCCTCCCCTCTTCCTGTGGTTGCTATAATGGGTGACAGCTGTGGTCTGTCAATCCTCCTTAACTGTCAGCCATTGGGGCAGGGCAGGAATTTTTCAAGAAGTCCCTGAGACCCGATCAGCAGATCCCTGGGAGTAATGCTAACTGCACACGTGCCTGAGCTGAAGGAGAGGGAACAGGCCTTTCACCTGTTGTCCTGCCATGTGTACATACACACACACTCACACGCATACATACACACACTCACATGCTAATGATCCCTGACATCCCCCTCCCATCTCATAAAACAGACAAAGGCAGCACTCAGACAATGCTGAATGAATCTCCATCTTTGTTAAATAGACAATAAATTCAGAAATGTCTCTTCTTCCCAGTGTGGTTGGTGCTCAAGTCCCCTTGAAACCACACACTTCCTTACATTCCATAAGTGGTGTATTAATATGGGGATATAAGGAAGCATGTCCTCACAAGGGGCAACAACTGGATTCACTGCTCCTCGGACACAAAGCACCCTTTCATAGTCACAGTTGCAGAGTAGCAGGAACAACCCGGCTTAACAATGGTTAACTGTGACAGAGCGAGCGAAGGAAGACACGTGATAGCGGCTTCGATCATCTGCGCCACAGACATGTTAGAAATTTAAAAGTTTAGGGTAATAAAGAGGGAAATTTCAAGTTTAATTTTTGTTTTAAAGTGTGACTTATTTGAGGCCCATTCTGCTTTTTCTTTCTGACAAACAAGTAAAAAGTAAGACCTTCCAATAGTAAAAGAAAACTGTTAACTGTTTTGTTTGTCCCTGACAACAAGTATTAGAAAAATGTAAGATTAATACTGCTAAATACCAGCCCATGCAGCTCTTTGATGGGTAATGCCAATGTGATGATGCTCAACTCCCTTGTGTTTAAATAACTCTGGAGGGCGAGGCAAATTCTGACTTTCCAACAGACAAAGGTCACAATCTGCTTTCTTTCCTTTACTTCATGCCATACCAATCATTGATCCCAACAATTGTGTACAAATATCCTATATTAGAACAGAAATGATAAGAAATGTTTAAAGGGAGCATATTTCAAACAAATTTAAGCTTAAATGCATTAAAAATCTTTTTTACTCACCTTCAGTGAAATGTGTTGTGCCTCCTCTTGTGTTCTTCTTGTGCTGAGTAGCTGGTGTTGAGCTTGAGGCCACACTTGGTTCAGCCGGCATCTCCTACACTGTCTAGTGGTGACTTCCGTGAAAAATTTAACCACTTGCTATGTCAACCAGCTCCGAACCAAATGGCCATTTGAAAGACTTGCCCTTTCACTTTGATTGGAGTGTGACGGCTCCTCTGAGAGACACATGTCAAGTCACCAAATTTCCTGATTCTTTCCTGTATTACACCTCAGCTTCCCGCTCACCTGACAGAGGTGTCAGGCTCCGACATGGAGCTCTGTGTCTATCGTAAACTTGCAGAAAACATTTAACAACTGGTTTGACACCTGATTTTACTCACACAGTGCTGCAAATGAAAGAAACTGAGGACAAAAGTCTACAACATCCTAATCTAGAAGATTTGTTAAAACCTTGTGAACCTAGAGAACCTAGATGCCCATTTGCTGAAGTCAAATCTGAAACTTTTATATTAACTAACAAAAGGAAAAGCTACCAGATAAATCTCAGACCAACCTTTTCCCTGAAGTTGCCCTTTCCACCCATTAAAAGCACAAACTCATTTCAAACTACCCCTCAGCTTCCTGAGAACCAGTCCCCAACTTCATCCTGCCCCTCTCCTTTCTTCGCCTCAGCTATCCTGCGATCAACCATCCTCCTCCATATCTGGCCGGTGGATTGTGCCCACTACAGGCCTTGCAGATCGGCCTTTTCTATCCCGCCAGGAGTGCCCCCCTCCAAAGCGGCCTCCCACCTGTTGGTGTCCTTTAGAAGCCCGGGCCTCTCCTGCGCCTCCTGTCCGGCCCAATCAGGGCCCTGACAGGGGGGAGCCAGCCTGTGAAATCACACCTCTCAGCTGTTCACACTGGGCTCGAGACACCCTACACCCCTGCCGTTCCTCTGTTCAGCCCCCACCCCACCCTGCCTCTATTTTACACCGAATGTCAATGGCTCCATTTTTGAGAAAAAAAGAAAAAGGGAGAAAGAGAGGGATACAGAGAAACAAGGAAGCAACTGCACGATGGGCGTGTTTTATTGGGTTTGGGGGTCCAGTCAGAACAGCAGGCCACGAGTCACAGCTGAAGCCAAGGTTGAGTTTCATCCCAGTTTGGTTCCTGGGCTTCACTTTAGTTTCATTGTATCATTTACAGTATAGGAAAAAGTGACGTTCACTGTTGTCAAAGCATTTAGTTGCCTCTGACAAAAGCCGTTTTTATGTGATGACATGATGTTTTAAGGTGATTACCTTTGCGAGGAAGCCGCAGTCAACCAAACGTGGTAAATCCTTTGATAAACTGTAATGTAAACTTCTGTTAATGAAGCACAGTCGATGATATGTGAGGAGTGTGAATGAGTTATACGGGGCTTCTTGTGGCACCATAAAAACGAAGCAATAAATTCTCCAGTAGCCACAAGGTGACCATCCTGCCGCCATGACACTTACAAAACAACACCGAATGTAACATAGGCCGCATTTATGTGGAGGGAAAAATAAAAATAAATAGTTGAAAATGTAAAAAAAAAAAAATCAATCATCTTAAAGAGCAAGTTACCATTTGAAGTGTTACAACAGTTTCTTATCAGCCATCATCAACCATTTACCCAGTAAGCATCAGCATCATTTGATTCATCAAACTTGCTGTTATTATTTTCTAAATAATCGTATAGAATCTATAGATCCTTATATGACTGTTTTAAAGCATCTGTGTGACCACAAAGCGGCCAATACTGTAGAGGCAAACAGGCTCGAGCTCAGGGGTTCATTTTCCTCTGCTGCAAGCACAAGCCGCTCCACTAAGGTCAACACCTGTGTTCTAAAATCAGCGCTGGGGTTGGGTGTGATAGGAACCCGGGCCTCATTCACAGAAAGCTCGAGCTCCGAGAGGGGGGCTTATATTGAAACCTAATAGTCTCGCTATTTTCGAGGCACTCGCCGTCCACAAATAGCCACCCCATCGCATCTTTGTAGCTCCCGTTTTCTCTCCGCCACAGGATGTTGTCTAAATTCGACAGTTGTTCAATATTTCCCATGGCCCCAAGCCAGGGTGTATCACAAATGCAACATTTCCACTAATGTCAGCTATGCGCCAAGGCCTTGCCAGATATATCTGGGCACTAGGAATATCAGATAACTTTTGTTGTTGAGTGGATTCTTGGTCTCTCACACCGGACACAATGGTTAAGACACAAACATAATCCTGCGGTTCCTCTTAACTGGACAGCTGATCACTGTCATATACTGAATCACAGACTGAGGATTTGCCAACAAACAGACTCTCATCTAATCATCTGCTTCTCTTTCATCATGTGGCATCATGCAAAAGATCTCATCTTACTCTCAGATTTTTTTTCCATCTGTCAACCCCTCTTCTGTTTTATTTATCTGAGCTCCAACCATCAGTCTGGCAATCATTTATATATCTAATAAATCCCATGAAACTTTTCACAAAACATGTTTATTATCCGATGCATGATTCAATGTGGGATTTCATTTTAAGTTCATCGAGTCATTTTTTAAGAACAATTAAGCCAAAATGGGAAGAAGACAGCGCCAGAGCTCAGCGGTTGTGTTGCATGTTAACTACAAATTGGGTCAGTGAGGTTATTTTTAACCCGTGTTCACATACCGGGGCCCCCGTTTGCTAATCACTTTGTTCCCCTCTGTCATACCCATCTACCACGCTGCCAATGTCCCACTGCTTCTGGGGAGGTCACAACACACTTTTCTTGGCAGGAGGAAATTAGTTCCCTCGGGACAGCAGGTAGGAGTTAGAGCTGACTAACCCCAGAGCAGTTTCTTCAACAGTGGATGGCATGGATTTCTATTGGTATAAATAAACCGGCAGCTGACACCAGATCAGCTCCTGCACAAGCACAGGATGGGACAACCTCATAGGTTAACCCCCTGGTCTTTAGAGGAAACTCTCTGCAGGACGTGCAGAGTTAAAAAACATCTCCTGTCTCATTTGATGTTTTTGTTCTGTAAAAGTATGAATGAAGAACATGTTTTGATATACTATGTTACAAGTAAAAGTCATTCAAAAATTGTACTTAAGTAAAAGTTCAACAGTGTAAGCATCAAAATATACCAAAAGTACAAGTACTCATCATGCATTTCATAGTAATGTTTATTATAGTACACTCAGTTATCACTATCAGTATTGAAGCTGGTTAAGATGGGGCTAATTTGAATACTTTATATACTGTTAGGTAGCCTAATCCATAATAATATATGATAATACATTTTTTCATTTATATTTTCAATTAATTATCTGAATTTGCTAAATAACTACAGCTATGAAATAAAGTAAAAAGTACAAGTGAAATGTAGTGGAGTAGAAGTATAAAGTAGCATAAAATGGCAACACTAAAGTACCTCAAAATTGTACTTAAGTACAGTACTTGAATAAATGTGCGTAGTTACTTTGCACCCTAGTCAGATTAAGGCGGTGGGGATGACGATGCTCCAATGAGAAACCAGCATGTAAAAGTCAACTGTTTGATCCTGACAAAGATAAGACAGTGCCATGTTGCTGACTCATTACGTGGTCTGACATTAATGCTGCCACTCTCTGTCCTTCCCTGGGCACACCAGTTGCCAGGGCTGAGGTTGACACAGCTGTTGCAGGGAGCCTGGTCCCGTGTGGTGGAGCAATGGAGCAGATAGGTCAAAGGTCACCGGCATTTAGGCTAAAAGAAAGAACAGGTGATGGAGAGGTGAAGGCAACTCACTCCTGTGATACACCGAGGGGACAGATGGATTTAGTCGGATGCTTTGAGGTCATTAGAACTGAGAATGAAGGATTGCAAACATGACTTAATATAATGATACAGTGCAGGCTCTATTTAGTGGTTTGGTTACAATCTAATACACAATTTGTTTCTTTCCACCTATAACAATGTAAAAAATCTACCAAACCAAAGAACTCTTAAGATATAGTTGAATAAATTGTTATTTTGACCACATTGGTTACATCAGGGTATTAATAACTGGTGGAAGTCATTAAACAAAAGGTGGTCACCCTTGATTTTAAAGTTTCATTCATTTCTAGATTTCTAGAAATATGGCACCCTAATTAAGAGGCTTGGATCTGTTACTAAAGCCCCAAAAGGTGTCATGGCAGGAAGCACATGCCTGACTTTTCTCACCAACCAACGAATTAGGACATAAAAGGATTCTGGGTGTTGTCCCCCATTAAATGGCCTTGTTGTAATGATCAGGCGGCCTCTGAGTGACCTGGTGACAGGTGAGCTACAATGTGGTAGATCAGTGTACACCAGTGTAGGGTAAACCTGGGTAAGCAGACTTACTCTTGTAAAGCTGCATTTGCCGTTACTGGCCCAAGTCTGATATGTCATCATTCTCCACCATTAATGTAGGGAAAATTAGTTTCGTTTGGGTAAACATAGGCTAAGCGATACAATTTCAAGGTCAGCATAATAAACTAATGAACCATTTCTCTTGGTAATGAGTAGGCTAAATGCATACAATGTAAAGTGACTGAATACAAGCTACTGAAAACAAAGCAACAAGCAACAATGCAGGGAAGACAGCAATGAGCAAATGAATAAATTAACCATTGACATTGATATAGTGCAATAAGGATGAAGGGGTGAAAGGTCTTAATTGGTGTAAACACATGAGGCCGCTGAGTGAATGAACTTGAACATTACGACTTAGTGAAATCACCTTTATTGTTAATGGACTATACACATCTAACCACTGTATGTATTATTTTCTCACAAATGAGTTAAAAATGGGTTTAAAATGTATGTATATGTGGTTGTTGTTGAAGCCCTGTTATAAGTCCAGTTTAATTATAAAGCCCTAAACTGCTTTAACATTCTCAAAGGACTTTGCAGGCACACAAACAAGGACAACACTTACAGTATTGTTTTAATGTATTGGAATTCAGCATTTTATCTAAAACACTGGTGGTTTGTTCATAAATCCCTTACATCATAGTGGAAATTGAACTCTATGCACAAATAAGTTTATCACTACAGTATAAACATTAAGACATAATAACTGACTAGTTTCAGTGCAAACAAAGACAGAAAGAACAGAACGTAACTTTCACCATATAACCCTGTGTATCATTTTACCTGTTTATCAATATGATTGCATAATATGGATACTTCAATATAATTATGCAGTAAAAATCATTTTCAAGGATGTGATGCAGTAGATTAATAGTAATAGTGGTGAAAAAAAAGTTTTTAATTTCCAGAGGAATTAATATTAGATTATCTGTAGTTGCATATCATATCATATCATTTTAAGGAATTTAGGAAACTATGGGAGCAGTAAAATAAAGTGTTACCAAATACACATTAGATTTGTACACAGGCAGTAAGTACAAAAAATGCCATGTATAATGTAGTAAACCAACACAGCAGGCTACATTAGTCACTTTCTAACATCGCTATCTTCTCTTATTCCCAGACCTCCTCTTATACAGTATCAACACATATATTTCTGTTTTATATCATATAGCTCCAACGTTTCTCTTTCACTGTGGTTCCTGGTGGATGAATGAATGGAAAAGACTATGGACACCCAAGTGGGCTGACAGGGGGTCGTCAGTCAGCTGTCCACCAAAAGGAAACGACAACTGCAGGAGAGGCAGCAGCAGCAGCAGCAACAGCAGCAGCAGCAGGGACACCGAGATGAAACAGAGATGGGGTTTATGGCGGACAGAGAGTGGGGGGATCCGCTGAATCAGCCGCCCAGCTGAGGATGTTTAAAGAAAGAGTCAGCAGTGATCGACGGTGGTCTCTGTTCTGTCCAACTCTGTCTGCCATCCATCCTTAACCCTGATCATGATGTTTAAACAATACCTCATCTACTTTAAGTCTTTATAATCTCCCAAATAAGCTACTTACATCATCAAAAGAGAAAGAAAGCATCAAAGATCACTCATTTTGAGTTCCTAAATGTGTTTCTGAACACGGAAACTTCCTTCAGCTGTGTGATGAATGAGGTAGAGATCATTTTGCACTCATGACTGGGTGACTGAGTTCATCAGTTCCACGAAAGAGACATTTACCCTCTAAACTTCTCACGTTTCCTTTTAAACAGTTAAATTATCCAGTATTTAACAAAAGCGGTAAACTAAAACAGATTTGTGCAGCAGGAATTATTTTTTTGCTTCTTTCCTCGCACTTTAATCATCTCATGACCCAGAGTTATCTTCTGACCCTTTGGAGGGGCCTGACCCCTAGGTTGTGAACCACTGGACTAAACTGTATGTAAAGTCATTAAAACTAACCCTCGACCAACTACGACAGTAAAATGCTTTTTACACATTCATGTAAGTCACAAAGGTCTATTTTCTACATAACAAGTACTTGTATTTTTAATATTGTAAAAGTCCATTTAACTAATGATACTTGTGTACTTACTTGTAACTGAGTATTTTTACATTGTGGTATTACTTTTACTTAAAGCCCCTACAAGGAACTTTCATAAGTGGTAGTGTTTCCATCACCTCGTTTCAGGGGAATCCGACCCCGTGGTAGGCATTAAGAATAACTACATAGAAATGAATGACAGATTAATCACTCGGCCGATTATCTAGCATTTGAGATCATTGGCATCAGCAGATGTCTGTGCTCATGAGGCTGATGCAGAAAGAAAAATCTTACATCAACAGGTAGCCTTGTCAGATATGCTGCTGTGGAACCACATCAGAGGTCCCCATTGTGAATTTTGGGAAGGTGGTGAAAACTCTCATACATTCATCCCGCTGTTCACATATGCCTAAATTTCCTATAGAACAGAATTATACATGACTTTTCTTTGTTTTGATATCGACCATTGGCAGCCCTGCTCTCTAAATATTAGCATCAGACACTGAAAAACCCATATTGGTCGACCACTTACAGAAATAGCCAGTCTTCTCACTTTATAGGTCTGTCTATGGGTTTGTGTATAGGTCATATAGAGGCATCAGTTTTAAACTCACAACCAGTTAAAAACTCCTTGTAGTATGTTTAAGTAAATCTGAGGGGACTTAGTACTAGGTTTATATATACTGTAAGTACGTAGGTTTGTATGTTATATCCTCAGAGATTTGCTCCATCCAACCCCTCACCCACCCAACACCTCCTCTCGTACTCTCCATCCCCCTCATGGGTGGTAACAGCTGTGGTGTCACCCCAAGTCACATGACATGGGCAGGTGGGAGAAACCTATGTGGGACATCCATCCCCCCTTTCTTCCCTCCTATTCTCTCTCTCTCTCTGAATGTCAACCCCTACACACACACACACACACACACACACAACCTCCTCTTTTCAAGGGTGTGGCCATTTTGCATTGCTGGAATGTGCTCCGTGTTTGTAACTCATACTGGATGTCTGATCTCCCACATTGATGAAATTCCACGGACAAAAATCTCCCGCACTCCAGCCTCTGCTTCATGCCAGCTACTACAGAGCATCTATGCATTATTAATCCACCCATAATCTAAACCTCACAGTCCTATGTTTTAAAGATGTTTTGCTTCATAAGGGTACAGCTGTGAGGCTCTGGGTAATCTCACCTTTCTCAATGAGACAAGTTAAGGAGATTGTGATTCTTTAATTTTAATGTATTTAATATTTAAAGAGGAATTAAATTCACTTTTATTCAAGTTTAATAGTCCACAAACTGCGACACATTTTTGAACCAAGCAAGAAAATAAAAGTTTTATTTGATGAGAGGGGCAGGATTATTCAATCATTTGAGAAAGTTTTATTGGTTTAAACCTTTATTCTTCATCCTACTGATACTCAGTTACATGGCCGCTGTGTTTACACTGTTTAAGATGAGGTATTAGGGAGTTGTGAAACAAACAGAGCATCCTCCATCATTTATGATGAAAGCATGGTCATGAAACAATGCATACTAATGTATTAATTTTTTTATTTATTTAACAGTGATAATAAAAACTATCATCAGCAGTCTTTTAGAGATAATAAAGCCATTTCCTGATGTGAACTGTGACATGGCAACGGTGGGCAGCACAAGTCCTACTAGTGTCATTGTGCAAGGCACTGAATCCCATTTAGCTTCAGCGGTGCTGCTTTGAAGGGACCCGTTCCCTGTGGAACAAGGAAACCAGAAACTGAATTTACTCATCTTTTTATTTCCAATGTAAAGAGAGATTTGTCCTAAAGAATATGAGCTGGGAACAAACCTTATAAATATAGTTTGTGAAACAATTATGTAATCAATTACATTAAATTATTACATTTATAAAGTATGTGTGACAACCTTGTGAGCCATCAGAATATCTGACTGAATCATGATAAACATTGATTTATAAGCTCAACATAAACAGGTTCTTCCAATCACAGAAGCTCAAGAGCGGCACTCAAGCTAAGATCACTCCTGGTTGTCACATGTTCAAGTCTTCTTAATCATCTCAGACCCACATTTATCTTTTGACCCTTTGGAGGGGTTTGACCCCTAGGTTGGGAACTGCTACACTAAACTATAAAACAACTACTACAGTAAAATGCTTTTTACACATTCATGTCTAATCTATTTTAAAATGTAAGTCACAAAGGTCTATTTTCTACAAAACAAGTACTTTTACTTTTAATATTTTAAGCAAACAAATTGATACTTGTAATTGAGTATTTTTACATTGTAGTATAACTTTTACATAAACCCCTACAAGGAACTCTCATTTTGTGTCTTCTTGCTCTGTGTGTGGTAAGAAATATGTTTTAATCTTTGTAAATATGAACTGAGCTGAGTAAAAGAACTAATGGGTTGCTTTAAGTTTTTATTTGGAGTCGCTGTAGGAACACAATGTGCTGGTTCCGTTTCTGGGGACAGTATTTACTAGCGGACTGACCGGTGCGAGATATCATTCAGCAATTTTACATCTAAAATCCAGCAAATATAACAGTTTGTAGTTAAATAAACCAAATTAAAATGACATGTTCTTGTAGAAACGGAGTAGAGACTTAATATTAAAGCAGTTTATATTTGCGACAACATGGCGACGCCCGGTGCGAGCTGTCTTCTTTAAAGTGACCTGTAATTGAAACTAATCACACCAGAGGTTTGTATCTGGAACTAATACTGCTGGAAATATGTATGAGTCCAAACAACTGCTTCAGCAGCGAAGGTCGCATCTTTTCTGCTCTTGTTGTTCACACTGAATGAATTATTTGTAGGTTTAAGGATTTACAATTAGTTCGCTTGAAGCTGTGTACCAAGGTGTATCTCCGCAGCTCACTGTGGACACTGCTGCACACGATGAGGGGTTGATTTCTTTATTCTGTCTTTATTTTCTATCAGATAATGATACTAACAGCTCGTCGCCTGTCCAAAGTGCTGCAGCTCACCCTGGCGGTCATCAAACCAGACGCTGTAGCTCATCCTGTCATGTTAGAGGTGAGCTCTCACTGTTACTGTCTGTTATTGTTATACCAAATCTAACTTCTTCAGAGTATTGTGACATCCATGAGACTGTGACCCAACTTATTAAGGTACTCTACTCCCCTTCACTGTATATAGTGTATATATTTTATATTTTTATTATATTTTATTGTATTTTGTTCTTTCTTTGCACCACATATTTTTCCTGCTGTGCCAAATTTCCCCTACATGGGATCAATAAAGGAACATCTTGTGCTTTAAAGGGCTGTTGCTGTCGTGAGCAGTGATGCCAGATAAAGAGTAAACACTTACTTTACTGAAGCAGTTCAGTTTTTGGATTTTGGATTCAGTTATTGTTGCAGGGAGAAGAAAATAAAATCTTATCTTGGTTTCTCCTTTCTCAAAATAAGTAGTTAGACGATAGATATCTGCCTGCCTTTTTTATATGGGCACAACAAAAGCAAAAGAGCAAAATGTACACATACACGACCACCAACAGTCCACTAAACATACATATTATATTGTACAATCTTTTTGACTGAATTGAAACATTTGAAGTTATTTCCCAGAGATTTCCACTATTGGACTTACTGAAATACAGTGTGAATAATAATAAGTTGAGGCGCTTTGTGCCTTATTGAACTTCATTCATCCTGAGGGAAACTGTTGTGCAGCAGTTGCAGTGCAAAGTAGGAAAGATATATATAGATATCCAAAATATAAACAAGGTTAAGGATAATAAGTTACCCATATCTTAAGTAGCCCGTTCACTGACATGGCCTAAGCCTGCTACACTCTCACTTTAATTCAAACAGTAAAGAAGAAACTCCATTTGCTGTCTTGATAGATTTACAAGCCCTGAGGCCTCAAAGTCCTGAAAGCTGCTGCAATCGTGAAATATTCCATTAGTGAAAGGTCCCATTTCACAGCCAAATAAATTGGACCGGTTTACGTCTGTTGTCATCTTAATAAAGAGCAGAAGAATGACCTTTTGTATCAGAATATTGTCTTAAAGTATCATCCCTCTGGCAGGTCTTATTCCAGTAGATGATACAATAACACTGAAATGCATGCCCTTTTCCCTATATATGTATATGTGTGTGTATATATATATATACTTATATATATTATACAACACACACACACACACAACACACACAACACACACACACAACATGACAAATGCAGATTCTTTCATACTCGACAAAAGGGGACATTGAATGCATTGATTAAAATTAACACCTGTGGGGAATGGGGGAGCGGGTTCCAGAGACCAGGAGTTTGTGTTTGCTTCTTTAATGTCACCCATTTGTAGCTTAATTGATATCATCAACTAAGAGGTAGTATATGAGTATAGTATATATATATAGTAGTATATATTGGCCCACAATAATGTAAAAATATTTTTCTTCTCTGTAAGGCTCTTCACCAGAATCCTGGACAACAACTTTGGCATCGTTAGATGCCAAAAGATCGCTTGGTGTGGGAGGAGCGCAGGACTCTGAGAAGTTCTACGCTGAACATTCAGGTGTGAACACAACTCATATGTGTTTATTTTAACGAACCAAGTTTTGCTGTAGTGACTCTATCTGACCTCATCTGAGTCAGTAGCCTATTTTTAGCAGACGTGTGTAGGTTAAGACAAGTGATTCATTCCTCACTGTATTACTAGAGCTACAACACTTTGAGAGGGAGAGAGAAACAGCCTCTTATGGTTAGTTGGATAATTAAAAATTAAAAAAATATTTAAGACTTGCACTGATATCCTAAAACTCTGTCTAACTTGCTTTTGTTTTGCTTCTTAGGGCGATTCTTCTACCAAAGACTTGTTGAATTCATGTCAAGGTAAGCTGAAATCACATGGCATTGAACGACTGATTGAGGCTTTTATGCATTTGGGTATGTTGTTTTCTGTCTGACTCATTTAAAATGGAATAACAGAGACATTTTCATACCACATAACCCAAGACAAGTCCATTTTATACAGCCCAGAATTACAAATCATAATTTGCCTCAAGGGGAAAATCACAATTTGGTGACAAAGTGCCCCTCAATAAATCATTTTCTGAAATGTCACAACAAGAGTTTCAATTATCAGCGGACCGCCGTGTTAAGCTCCCCTGAAGCAATTGTCTGAGAATCAAAATCCAGCCTGTTCACAATAGCTCCATATGTCCCCACTGGATTGCAAAAGGTTTTTATAATCACGTTGTCATTTTTGTCTCCTCACAGCAGTCAATCTGCAGTTGCTACAGCAACCGTTCTTTGAATGCTGTCAGTGACAGAAAAGCACCCAGTGTTTAAAAGGAAATGTCTGTAGCAGCCACACAGAGCAGAATATGGTTGAATGGTCATATTGTTGACTTCCTTCCCACAGTGGTCCGATGCGAGCGTACATTTTGGCCAGAGAGGACGCCATACGTCACTGGAGGGAACTGATGGGACCGACCAAAGTGTTCAGAGCCAGATACACCTCGCCTGCTTCCATCAGAGCCCAGTTTGGACTCACAGACACACGAAACACAACTCATGGCTCAGGTAGGAAGTAGCAAGTAGCAGATTTACATCGTGTCCTACACAGCCATGCATTATCACAAGAACTGTCAAATCACATACTGCAGGTTTAGCTTTAGCATACAATTACTGTAAGAGTGTGATCAAAGGGAACAAATAACTACATATAGACTTTATTCTTAAGGAAAGTTGCATTGCAAAATATTTGAATAAATATATTATTTTTTTCTACCATAGTGCATCGTAAAATACTTAATATTTGTATTAAGTTTAAAAAATGTCCACACAATCATTCTTTCTAATATTTTATTCAGTAATAAACTGTAGCAGTTTTAAAGCCCCATGGATTTACATTACAGCAATGCCAATTCTCACAAGTCCTATTATTAAACAGTACATCCATTGTCACATATCTTAGAAGTATCATGACAAATCTAGATATTTGAGGATTTATATTAGGATGGCATTGACAGATCACTGAGGCTGTGTCCAAACCATTCCGTTAACTATATAATGCCCTACTATATTAATACACTGCCATTTTATTTGTGTTTTAATTTAAGTGTGAAATTTATGCTCTAGATAGAGTGGAACGAAAATGCACTGTACATGACATGTTCACTGCTTTCTGCAACTGAGTTTGATATATAAAAAAACCTGTAAATAAAAAAATAAAATGTAATAAAAGTAATTAAATACATTTACTACTGACTATAGAGTAGCAAATAAAAAAAGTAAAACATATAGGGTTTAGTGAAGGTTTGAACGAGGGAGTGACTCTGGACACAGCCACACATTTAGAAACCTTGTACTTCCATTGCCAAGCTTTAAGATTTATGCCGAGTGAAACTGTCATCATTTTCTCTCCAGATTCGGTTGAGTCGGCACAAAGAGAAATCCATTTCTTCTTCCCAGACTTCTGTGCGGAGGAGTGGATGGAGAAGGAAGAGCCATCGTTCAGATCAGGAGATATAAATTACGACCATCAGAAACAGATCCACACACTTTCAACGCAAAGCTGACCCCAGAACTGCTGTTACAGTCCCCGCAGCACCACTTAGAAACTCTGCAATTAATCATCAATTGTTCCAAAATGAATGCTGCCAGAGAAGATGCTACAAGCTATATATGATGTATAATGTGTGAGGATCCCAGAGAAGTGCATGTTTCATGTTTATTTTTGTCACCACAGTTCGTCAAAGTGCCAACATGTTTATCCCGTGTTTTTGTCATTTAAACTAAGATATACAGCTCTTTATGAAGTCATTTCAAACAAGGACCATAAATATTTTTAATTTATTGTCATTAGAAAACACAATCGACTAGATAAGAAAATGTAACTGTATTGTACAAAACAACACGATGTAGTTAGACAGTTGTCTACATTGTCATCACAAACTCCTGCCTTCACTAGCAATAGTGCAATCATCACAATCCGTTTCACTTTCCTGAGCCATACAGATTTTTAACACAGCAGCAACCACATGTTCTGTATCAATGTCGAATAACAAAACTATATATTTATAATTTGTGAATATTCCTATTTGTTAACATTCGTATGTAAAATAATACTGTATTAGGCGCACACATGTATGTATCCTCAAAAGCACCTTAAAATTGTGTTAATATGCTTTTTAGGTTCTTGTTCACTTAAGGAATTTGAAATGTGCCATTGAAACAGGCTGTCTGCTGTATACTATGATTTTTTTCTATGCACTGTAAAATGTCATATCTCGTGTTTTCTTTGACCAACAGACGGGTTTTACATGTCAGTGTCTTTGATGTGTCAAAGTACAGTAAAATATTGTAACAGGCACCATAGAAATACATCTTACAATATTAAATACAACACAGCCAGAGTATTTTTTTTTAAAGAAAACGAGCCATGTTTTCAATATGACTAAATGGTACAGCTCAAAGTCTCAGAGCAAAGTCACACATCTTTCTTGGGCCTTCATTAGCTGTCAGAGCTGAAAGATTCTTTCCCACAGAAACAATGAGTTCACTGATTGAACAGTTATCTTTTTATTTTTCTTTGGCTCCTTCCAGTCTCCCTGTAGTCAGGTGTTTTGGGTGGCCACCTGTTTGAGGCTTTCCACTGGTTTCATAACCTCATAGGTGGTGAGGGACTTCTTCACTTTTCCATTCTTATCCACCTGATGGATGCTCTGTGTCACTGTGATGGTCACCTGCTTGGTCGACATCCGATTGTCATGCCATTTTGTCTGATAATGATGAAGAATGAAAGACGGGGAATAACATAAATAACAATAGTAACCTTGTTCTTAAATGTGGTTAGATTGCATTAAAGGGGGGAATTGGAGTCACATAATGGCACTTTAAAATCGAATCAGAAATTATGAGAACGTTGCCAGACAGCGATTATATCGTGATCGATTAATCTGCCGATTATATTCGCAATAATTGGTTTTGTCTTTAAAATGTCAAATACAGACATGGT